GCCCGCGGGCACCGTGTTGGGGACCACGGGTGTAGACTAAGGATGTTAATTAACCGACTACTCAAGTAGTTGATGTACATTTCAAAGGAGGACTGCGGAAGTGCCTAAGAGCCCGCAGTGAGGAATGTGGAACTCCCGGCTGACTCAGGGCTCCAAGAGGGCACTTACGCTTTGAAATGCACAAGAGCCGCTGTGCAGTGCTGCCGCTTTACCGTGTTGGGGACCACGGGTGTAGACTAAGGATGTTAATTAACCGACTACTCAAGTAGTTGATGTACATTTCAAAGGAGGACTGCGGAAGTGCCTAAGAGCCCGCAGTGAGGAATGTGGAACTCCCGGCTGACTCAGGGCTCCAAGAGGGCACTTACGCTTTGAAATGCACAAGAGCCGCTGTGCAGTGCTGCCGCTTTGAAATGCCGAGCACGGCATTTCAAAGAGCACAAAGCCCAGGGTCAGCTGGGGAGTCTCCAGCTGATCCCAGGCTCTGTGCCGTGCTGCCCCTTAGAAACACTGCCATGGTCTTTTACATCGGCAGTGCTGCATGGAGCCCAGGAAACGGCTCCGTGCGGTACTGCCACTTTGAAGGAGCCCCTCTTCTCCCCTTTGCTGCCTCTAACTAACAGAGGCAGCGGAGAGGGGAGGGAGAAAGGAGAGGAAAGGAATCGACTAGTCAACTGGACTATCCAATAAGCATTTGTTTAGTGGACAGTCGACTAGTCCTTAACACCCTTAGTGTAGACTGTCTTTGAAATATGCCATGGGGAAGTTGTGCATCCTTGGCAACTCACTGTCTACTTGAGCATTTTAATCCATACTCTCTTCCCCTCCCATCAAGAGGGATAATTTTTCAGGGTAGTATAGGTCTGACCCCAACTACTAGAGGAGAGAAAGCTGAATTTTGGGTTTTCTTAATAGAATGAAACTGAAGAAGAGAAAATCACCTACAATTCAGACGATTCCTTACCATTCAGTTTTTCAACATAGGAATGGAGAATTTTTTCAGACTTTTTCTTACCTATTGGTATAGCAATTTGTTTGCTAGGAAAAGGCCCAGCTCCTGGTTAGAGTCCTGGAAAAAGACTGCTATTGCTGAAAAAAGTACAGCTAGTGCTTTTATTGCACTAAGAACAGAGACTCTAGACTAGATAGGAGATGAAGTTACAGAAAGATTCTTCCTGTGCTGCAATTAGAGACTGCCTATTAACTTCAGGGCTATATAAAAAGGCCATCAAACTGGAAGGTGACAAAAGACTTATGTGACTCTTTGAATGACATTTGTGAGACATCACTAAATAACCATGCTTCATTAAAAATCTGTTTGGTAGCCAGTTCCACACTGCCGCAGGGACACTGTAAAGGATTAAATGAAGAGGAAAGAGCGACATCAGGATAAGAAGTTGAACAGCACTAACAATTATTGGGAGAGAGGTCTGTACTTCTGCCTGGCAGAAGCACATAATTCAGCAAGTGAAATCAAAGCAGGAAAGAACGAGAGTCTTGAAAACTTAATACCAAGTGCCTGATGCACCTGTTCAAACATCTTGATTTAAAAAAAAAAAAAAAAAAAACATTATGGCTGTTTCACAACTTGTATCTCATCTCAGACTGACCAAGAAAATTCCTGTTTTATAAAAGAGCACTCATCCAAGTAATGTACTAAATGGTGCTGCATTGCAAATGTTTGGTTAAAAGTTTTATATTCAGTAATATATTACACAACCACTATAAAGGAGCAACTTTACATGTAAAGGAGCAAATCCATACATACAACAACAGTGACGATTATACTGACCTGCTCCAAATAATTCTTTGTGCACCTCTAATACCACAGCAACTCCAATGTTGTCTTTTGTCATCACTCTGTTTAACATAGCTTCTGACCCTTCCGAGTTAGCCATTGCCACCTGGTTAAACTCCACAGTGTGCTTCTGCACCAATGTAAATCTGAGCGAAGACAAAACACACCGCACATATGTACTAGGGATGTAATAGTGTAGTAGATTAACCGCTAAGCAAAAGCTTACAGGTTAATGCTGTGGACTCCACATATTTTCCCTCCTCCCCAACCAGTACATTTTTTAGCAGGCTGGCCAGCAGCCTGGCCGGTCAGGGACTTACGCCCACTGTGGCTCTGCATTTAAAATGTATTAGAAGCCAGCAGGCAGCCTGTCTCAGTTCTGGTTCTTTATCAGAGGCAGTAGCATAGGGTAACAAGCAGCTGGTTCGCAAGAGAAGTTGGTTTTTAAACTGGCTCCCCTTGCGGAATAGTTCCTACCTGGTACCCTGCGCTGCTGCCGGCCCCACCCCCAGGGACATAGAATAGTCAACTAACTGATAAGAATTCATGAGTTTACTCGACTATTCAATTAACCGATATTTAACATCCCTAATATGTACAGCATTAGCCATAAGTAGGCAGTTGCACTAAACACATTTTTTAAAAACAATAAATGGTCTGGTAGCACTTTATAGACTAACAAAACATGTAGATGGTATCATGAGCTTTCGTGGGCACAGCCCACTTCTTCAGATGACTGGAGTTATGAGTTTAGGATGTGCACAACCAAAATAAATAAGAGAGGGGGAAGGAAAAAAAGAAGATGGGGGTGGGAGAGAGAGAGCTAGAGGGAATCAGTAAGTAAGTATCTGAAGATTGTGTAGTTAAAACGAAGCAGATAAGAATCAAAGTCAATAGATAGTATCCATCCTAAACTCATAACTCCAGTCATCTGAAGAAGTGGGCTGTGCCCACGAAAGCTCATGATACCATCTACATGTTTTGTTAGTCTATAAAGTGCTACCAGACCATTTGTTGTTTTTTTCTGTAACATACTAACTCGGCTACCCACTGAAGCTTCTGCACATTTTTTAAGTTTACCATAAACTTCCAATTTATTATTCTCTGTACAGTTACCAGATAGGCCCCAATCTTATTTGGCACATGGTTTTACTCATGCTCAGACAGTAAGAGGATGTCCTTGCCCCCAAAAGTAGCCAACCTAAAAAAGGGCAGGGAAAAATGTAGGACGGGCGAGGTAAAATATATGCAATTTATTTTCAGGTTTGTTTTGTTTAAACTATAGCTAGGCAAGCTGGCTACCCTCAAGGGTTAGAGAGACTTTTTTTTTTTTTTTATTAACACACAGCTCTGATTTCTTATAGGTGTCACAGTTGAGATGAGTGTTGAAGTTTGTTTTTGTCATCTTTGTGCATCCCTCACAGACAACCCTTATCCAAAAGGACCTGAATCATTCCCAACATGGACATTTTCAACCCAAAAAGGCAAACTACTTTTTTTAAAAAGATATGAACTGCTGTTACAATGGAAGCATGACATAACCTGAATTATAGCAGGTTATAACCACCAGCACACCATTAATCAGAGAGAATTAAGACTCATTGATGCAAGAGGTACAAAATTTCCTGAATCATTTGCAAAAGGACAATAAT